TCATTATTAGGGCAATTTAAATATAATCTAGCTGCCCCTAGATTGTAGATGGAAACTAACCTGCACACTCAGATAACATCACACTGTTTATACAGAAGCACAGTAAAGTTAATTACAGACAATGAAACAGAGGGGATGAAAGGTGCCAGTGCTGTTGGAATTTCGCTGGTAAAGAGGAGAGAGTAGATTGACAGGAGGCTGCAGAAGGGAGAAGAGGCTGAGTCTCATAGGCCATCTTAAAGGATTTGCATCTCATTCAAACTGCATTGCAGGACTTTGAACAGGAGGTAACATAATCTGATCATGCTCACTGCTTTGTGAAGAATGGATGACAGAGGAGGGAATGTGACACCAGGTCACTGAAAGTGTTGGAGTTACTGGCATCAGCCCATCATGGTGGCAGTACAGATGGAGAAAAATGGAGACAGATGAGCTGTGTTTTGAAGATGGAAACTGAGGAATTGTGTCAGTCTGTTTTGTGTCACTACAAAGGAATATGTGAGGCTGAGTAATTTATAAAGACAAGAGGTTTATTTTGGCTCACAGTTCTGCAGGCTGTACAAGCATGGCACCTGAATTTGCTTGGCTTCTGATGAGGCCTCAGGGAGCTTCCAATCATGGCCAAAGGTGAGGAGGAAGCAGGCACATCACCTGGTGAGAGAGGGAGCCAGGAGGGCGGAGGAGGTGCCAGGTTCCTTCCAAACAATCAGCTCTCACGTGAACTAATAGAGCAAGTACTCACTCATCACTGAGGGGGTGGCAACAGGCCATTCATGAGGGATTCACCCCCATGATCCAAAACCTCCCACCAGGCCCCACCTCCAACACTGGAGATCACATGTCAACATGAAATTTGGTGGGGACACACATCCAAACCATATCAGGAATGAGATTGGATAAGCCTGGGATGGTGGTAAGGGAGAGGTTGGAATCAAGGATGGCTCCCTGGTTTGTAGCTGATGTAGCTAGCCAGAGAATGGTCTGTTTTATTAAGATGGGAGAGGCACAAGCGAGAAAAAGATTTGGTGGTGAAATGGGAAAAGGGAGGTCAAAAAGCTTTCATTTTGTACATTTTAATTTTGTGACACAAAAGCAAGGAACACACACTTGTCTTATTTATCTATATATCCACCTGCATGGCCTTGACTGGGGCTTAGTACACATCTGAGTAATTAGAAAGAATAGGCATGCTATCACTTTTGTCACTTATCTTAGTGACACCTTCCTCTCTTTCTCCCTCTCCCTACTCCCCTTTCTCTTAATATATATAAAATAGCACTTCAATTTCATATGGTGGTTCAAATCATCAAAGATAAGGTAAACCAACAATATAATACATTTTAGACAGAATTAAAGGTCCTGCAAGGCTTGAGTTGCAAGGGTGACACCGACAAGAAATTAGAAATCAAATGAGCCCAAGTAAATGCAGTTTGGTGTCTGGATGAAAGAATGCATCCCAAGAAATCTCACGTCTCTGAGATGGATAAATGGCCTTCCGTTCCAACTGAAGATCTATTAATGCATTTCCCTTTTGCAATGCAGGTGATGCCATTGCAAATGCTATCATTCCTGTGGGTAAATGTGGCTATAATTTTCTCATCTGTAAAACGAAGGTATTACACTGGATTATCCCAAAGACTTGAAAGTTCCCTTTCAGATCCTTCTCATCTTGTAGAGTTATATGGAAATGCCTTTTGGGGATCAGGAACACAACAGCTCCAGCTGTGGCAATGTCTCTGGTAGAGCCCCCCATAGAATACACTGAAGGGCACCATCTGTGTAAATATAACAGAAGTTGGGGGAAAGCATTAAAATATTTTTATCTATCTATCTATCTATCATTTCTACAGAGAAAGGAAAGCTCTTCTTGCTATCTGGAAAAATATTATTCTCCCTTTTCTTTATTTCTTTATATCACACAAGGAAAGAGATAATAGTACTCTGTGGCTTACTACATTTTGGAAGCACAGTTTCAAGCGAGAAAGATCTACTGAAAGGCTCAAAAGTAAATTAAAATTTAAAAAGTATTCATGCTATGTCTCATAACTTACCAACAAACCTTCCAGGACTGTTCACATATTAAATTATACATAGTACCTTTTTTCCTGGGAAGGGATGGAATAGATACAGTCCATAACCAGACAGAAAACTTTACTGTGAACACAGGATGCATATTTATGAAGTCCAGAACATTTTACAAAACATGTCATTATAGTCTCCCATTCAATCATGAATCTATCCATGGTTATAATTGAGTCCAATTTGGCCCTGAGCCTCCTGGTAGCCAAAGCAAAACAAAGCACGAAATCAGCTACAAAATACTCATTATGATAAAGAAGGACGCATACCATTTTGAAAGGACAACAATAAAATATTTTGTTTAAATAGCACGAGGCTGTGGGGAGCAGAGAATGATCGGGTAACAGTAACTAACTCCTCCGCAGCAGAGGCTGTGACATTTCATGTGACTTGTTCTTCACTGAAAGTCAAGGGCATCATGTTAAAGTACAATTCAGTGAAGGACTAGAGCAAAACAGACCTTGAGAGGTGCAGCTGGAACCAAAGATAAAAGCAGATCTAGAATGCACTGTCTGATGTGAGGCCATGAACCACATAAAACTGGAAATGTTAGTCATCCAAATTGAGGTAGATTGTGGGCATAAAATGTTCATCAGATTTTAAAGTTTTTGTGCCATAACAATGAAAATAAGGGGACAATATCTCAATATGTTTTATATTAATTATGTGTTGAAATGATAATATTTTGGATGTTGGGCTAAATAAAATATATTACTAAAATGAATTCCACTTGATTCTTTATTTCACATTTTTAAATGTGGCTCTTAAAAATTTTTAAATTACATACGTGGCTCACAGTTGTGTCTTGCATTATATTACCAGTGGATAGTGCCAGCTCTGGAGGAGTGAACACTTGCCACTTCACATTGGACTTGCTGCTTTCTCTCCTTGCCCATCATTCTCTCCATCTAAGAACTGAAGGACCCTGATACCCATCTCCAAGAGTTAAGTAGGCTGGCTTGTGGAAATTGCAAAATACGATGCCTGACACAGCATATGGCCCAGCAGTCTTCCTTTGCTACTTCTCTGCCCTGAAGCCTACCTTTGGGGCTGAAAGTGGGAAAATATTCTGACTCCTGCAACAGTCCTGCCATGAGATTTCCCTGTGACCCTCCACTCCCTGAGGTCTGTGGCTGTTTCTCTGCCTTGAGGAAGTGCAGTACTATGTGATTTCAGTGTCTCAAGACAGATAACTCTGGCCCCCTGGAATAACCAGCAGGATGACGGGGGTTGGGAGGGAGGCTGTTTATAGAAGACAGGGGTCAAACACTGCTCAAGGACTTTGTTTAAAATTCTTTTTTAACCACATAGCTCTATGTTTGGGTTTGCTTCTCTCATTAAATAAATATCTCGAGAGTCTTCATGGATCACCCCAGATACGTATGGCCAAGGTTTTTAAGATAATGAGTCACACTCTTGAGTTACGCTTAGTGGATTCCCAAGTTGGGGCATTTAAGGATCGTCAAGAGGGGTCGGTGAGGGATGGGATGAAGTTCTTCCCAACAAGGCCAAGAGAAGGAGACCCTTTTAGAGTTACGTGCAAGATTCCTGCTCACCAGCAAATTGCATAAATTTCTTACGGACTCAGTTCAGGTCAGCGAGAAGGCAGAGGGCAGAGAACGACCAAGACCTTACGATATGAAAGAACAGAATTTAAGGGAACAAGAACATCTTGTTAACTTGAAGTTTGCCCAAGACTCAACTTCGTGTTTGAATGAACATGTGCCAATTATTTCAGATTAGCACAGAAACAATACATTTGTGTTTTGTTTTAATGAAATATTTTGAAAAGCTGAGGACATATTTGGAGTTCTAAATTTGGTATTTGGAGTTCTAAATTTGACCCTTGGCAAATTTAAGTCACTTTCAACTCAAACTTTCCTTAAGGGAGAATCAGAGATAGAGGAAACAGTAAATAAATAAAAAAAAAATACTTGGGGTAAAAGAACTTTTTAAGTTAATAAACTTTATTTTTTGAGTAGTTACAAGTTTACATAGAAGTTGAGCAGAAAGTACAGAGATTTCCCATATACTCCCTCCCCTCCACACACATACAGTCAACCCTATTTTTAACATCTTTGCATTAGTGAGATTGATACGTTTGTTACAATTGATGTACTAATATTGATACATTATTATTAATGTCCATAGATTACATTAGACTTCACTTTATTGTGCAGTTCAGTGGGTTTTGATAAGGCATGACGTCATGTATCTACCATTACAATAGCAAGCAGAATAGTTTCACTGCCCTAAAAATCCTCTGTGCTCTAACCATCCCTCCCTCCCACCAGCCTCTGGCAACCACTGATCTTTTTACTGTCTCTACAGTTTTGCTCTTCCAGAATGTCATATATTGGAATCAGTCAGGATGTAGCTTTTCAGACAGGTTTAACAATACACATTTAAGGTTTCTCGGTGAGGATTTCAAAAAATCAGGAAAATAATACCTTTCTGTAGAGATGGGGAGAATAAGAACAAATAAAAGGAAATTTTAGACTGAGCTATTGTCTCTGGCTCCTGGTATCTGAGAAACGGAAAGGACAAACTCACCCTGGAGGAGAAGAGCCTAGGACGAGAGGAACGACGCTGTGTGAGGTGGAAGGGCAGGCACAATCACACAGGCACCTTGGGAGGATGGGCCTGGTGGCAGGGGAGGGGGAACCTCGAGTTTATTCACAAAAACCAACTTGGTGGCTGAACCATAAAATAAAGTGAAGTTTTGCTCATTTTCTCTACAGAAGACAATATAACCCAGTTTTCCAAAAGGAGTGCGGGTAACATTTCTCCTGGAAACAGGAATATAATATAATACCATTTAGGTCTACTACTCTATTGTGGTGTTGTTAGCTTAGTTTAATTCAATTCCTAATTCTTGACTCAAGAGTATAACTTGTCCCTTCAATGGGTCAAACTTGCTATTTTTTTTTTTCTAGATAGTTTTTTTCTCCATTCCCATCTTTTTTTTTTTTTTCTAGAACCACATATTCCAGTTCATTTCATTAAGGGATCCTTACTGCAATACAGCGGGGGGTTGTGTTTTAAAAAAACACCCCAAAAAAGCACCATTCTGGAGAAAGCCTCACACTCTATGTGGTATTTGACTACATGCTCTGATGACATATGTTCATATCGCCTCTGAAAACCACACTCAGAGAACCATGGAGAAGAGGGGCAAAGCATTTTTCAAGCTTGCACCCTTTGGAGTGGTGTCAGAGTTGGAGGAAAAGGCCAGCCATCCTGCTAAATGCACCAGTGAAAGAAAATATTCTGGCAATGTGAGATGGAAAAAATAGAACCTACCAGAATGACTCTCAGGAATAGTACTATAAATGCTTAGAGGGAAAATGAAGTCACTTAGGGACAAGGAGGTGACACCCTCCTTCCTCCAAAGGTTAGGCTTAACTAACCCTGGATATTGGATAACTAAAACAGATGAGTCCATTTGACTCAAGGTCTTTTGTTTCATGAATGGATAATGCAAATATGGGGCCAGAGTGGAATTACCAAGGACAATAGAAAACGGACTGAGTGTCCCACCCAAGGGTCTTTCTCCTTTTCTTTTTCTCCTATGTCACTCAGCTTTCTCTACAAATTAACTCTGAACAAGCATTTGAAGGAGTGTTCAGAGTATCAGATTATTTATTTTCCTGGCATTCTCTAATGTTTCTCTGGCCCCGGGTAAAGTCAAGTGTCCACATCAAGGTGCATCTCTTTGAAAGGCAATGCGGCCCAGTGTGGGTGCAGCAGCCTGAAATCAACAGGTTTTCTTATTCTACTTCCTCTGTTTGGAATTTTTCTCTTTCTTCCCTCTATAGCTGCCTATCTAAACTCTTTCTGTAAGGTCCAGCCCAAATGCATCTCCTTCAGTAAGCCTTACCTGGGATTAATTTATTCTTCCTCTGTAGATTCATAATTACTTAGAGGTAGAAACAAGGAAAGTATCATGAGACTCTATAACAAGGTACAATGTGATGCCTCTCACCAGAATGTAAGTTCTGGACAACAGCCATGTCTTCTTTCCTATCTTTGTGTAGGACTCACATTGGGTATCACAGTTCACACAGAAAAGGTACTAGATAATTTTGTTTGTTTGTTTTGTTTTTACTATCTTTACTGTTAATTCAGGGGCTATCTAAATTGCCTTCCATTGTCCAAAATCACCCTCTGGGACCAAAACCAAGGGATGTGACCCACATCAGTTGCTAAGCAGTCAACGTGTGATGTGAAGAGCTCCAGGGAGCCTGGCCCTAAGAGGATATTCACCATTTAACCATGGAGTCAATGTCTGGCTATTATCCATCTGTCTTCTCCTAGTAACATCACTCTGGGTTTCTTCTGGGAAACACTTCTCCCCAGTCTTCATTCAAGTGGTTTGGATGGGGCTAAATCTACACCCTAGTTGTAGAGGTAGATGTATGGTGCAGACCTACCTTGCATTTCACCTCCTTTGACAGAGTGTTTGCTTCCCAGGTGGCCACAAGACCCAAGCTGGATCAATGAGATACAACCCTAGGATTTTTGCTGGAACTCTTGGGAAAGAGAAGCTCTTCTTCAATGGTCCCTAAGCCTTGAAATGTATCTGTAGGGATACCATTCTGTCGTCTCATGCCCAGAGCCTGCCAGAGAGTAATCTCAACACAGGAAGGAGAGAGCTGACATATGGTAGCAGGTAGAGTTGTCCAATAAAATAGAGAAAGCAGTACAGGGACATGTTTATACTACAAAAAAGTTGTTCATTATTTATATAAAATGTGAATTTAACTGTGTATGCTCTGTTTTTATTTGCTAAATCTGGCAACTTGAGCAGCAGGCAGCCTCCATCTTGGTTACTGCATTTCTGAACCCTTGCATTAATCTACAGTCCTGGACTTCTCAGTTATGTGAAGCACTGGCTACCAGGTTTTTTGGTTGTTTGTTTTTGTTTTTTCTTAAGCCAGTTTGACCTGGCTTTCTATTAATTCTGTTAATCTGCAACACAGAAGTTCCTCAGTCATGTAGAAGTTCTGCCATCTTTCAGAACAATAGGTGTTCTCTTCAAAAGCAAAATGTCCTGCAGGCACCAGGGGCATGTCACTGGGGCATAGGCCAGAGAGGTAGAGAGCAAGACCAGGAATCTCTGCCAGCTGTTGGGGGCATAAAAGGTACACAAAGAGATAATATTTTATGCCTGAGGGGAGTGGAAAATAAGCAAGTGACAAGGCCCCCTAGACCAGGATGGAAACACTAGGGCAGCACAAAGCTGCATCGGCTAGGATCAAAGGAAGTCACCATCACCAGTGTAGGCAGCTCCATGCATTCCCTCGTGTCCCCAAGAGTAGCTTACCTTTAAAGACTGCACTCCTATCCTAACTTCTGGGGTATTTACAATGAACAAAAACAGACTCAGATCTACAATACAAACCCTAAGTGATGGAAGAAAGCCAAAATATTCTTGTGGTTTGAGGGGGTAGAGGAAAGAAAGGCAGGGGAGGAAGGAGAGCAATTCATTTCACAACAGCCTCTGTCACCTGCCATCCCTACCTGGGGGAAGGACAAACTGAGGGCAGTCTGGGTGGGAGAGCAAACAGGAAAGTGTCTGTCTGGCACCTGAAAGCCAGCAATCTGATCCCAGGGCCCCAGAGTCAGGGCTGGAGGACAAAGCTTTGCTGGGGTGAGGGAAGGCAATGAACTCTGTGGATTCCAAAGCTTTCTCTGCCCTGCCCTGTTTCCGGGCACCAGCGGGTCATATCATTGCAAACAAACATGAGGAAGCCTGCCAGGAGAAATGACAAGGGTATTTGCCAGTTGAGAAGGCTTCTACCAGTCAGGCTAGACTGGGCCATCAAAGAGTTCCCTCTTCTTGACTTGGATTTCTAACACATTATCCAGAGCCTTTTTAATTTTTTTTCTTTTTAGACGGAGTGTCACTCTGTCACCCAAACTGTAGTGCAGTGGCATGATCTTGGCTTACTGCAACTTCCACCTCCTGGGCTCAACGATTCCCCCACCTCAGCCTCCCAAATGGCTGGGATTACAGGTGCATGCCACCATGCCCGGCTAATTTTTATTTTTATTTTTAATATTTTTTTTGTATTTTAGTAGAGAAGGGGTTTCACAATGTTTCCCAGGGTGGCTTCAAACTCCTGAGCTCAGGCAATCTGCCTGCCTCAGCCTCCCAAAGTGCTGTGATTATAGGCATGAGCCACCACACCCGGCTGCCAGAGCCTTAATTAAGCAACTTCCGTGTGCTGGGGTACTGGGCTTGGTGGTCATTTACATTCACTACGCAGTTATTTTTCTGGTTTTCTAGCAAAATCTTTTGAAAATATAAGTCAAAGCTAGTATTATCTCTATTTGGGGAAACAAGAAACTGAGGTGTGGACCTCCTTAGATCACACAGGACATGAATGCAGAGGAAGAAAGCCTTACAGACATTATTAATCTCTTAATCTGTCATCATTCATCTTTCCAGAAATTGGCAAGGTGGCTTGTAGGTCAACACTAGCAAATCCTCTTTGTAGCAAGTCCCTACAACTAACTACAATGGAATCAAGTTTTTATTATTGCTTTCAAAAACTCAGTGTTGTATTGGTGGAGATAATACTAACCCCATAGTCATGGCAACTGAAGGCTCTTATTGAAAGGGTGCTTCAGTCAAGCTTGGAGAGAAGTTCAATGTCACCACTTATTACTGACCTTTGGCATTCTTTGTTTAAAAGCTATTATTTCAGTCTTTTTTATATATATATATATACACACACACACATATATATACATATATACACACACACACACATACAGATACATGTATACATTTGCTATTATTACACGTATTTTATGTTGCAATTGCTATTATTATATGTATTTTATGTTATTTTTTTCATATTCAAATTCACATAAGATTTTTAAAGCCCTGAAGGCAAAACAAGCTGTTACCTTTCTATTTTGATCAAAACTCATAGCTACAAATTAGATTGCATGTTCACCATAATCATCTTCACCATCCTCATAATCAATACAAAAAGCCTCTCGCCATTCAACGAACATTATGGAATGCATACTGTGTGTTGAATGCCAGGTATAAAATAGCAGATAAAACATAGTCTTTAGCTTACATATTAGTGATGAACTCAGACACCTAAATGGAATATTTAATTAAAACACAATAAAGGAAATGATGGAGACAGGCAAAGCTTACTATAGATACCAGAGTGGCTGGAGAGAGCTGAAAAGATTCCAAGCTGGGGATTTCCAGGAACACTTCTCAGAAGCAGTGGCAAGTCTTTTTAATTTTTAATTTTATTTTATTGTGTTAAGAAAATTTAACATGAGAATCTAACTGCTTAACACATTTCTAAGTGTGCAATACAGTATTCTTGACAACCATGTTGTACGGTAGATCTCTCAAACTTACTCATCATGCTTAACTGAAACTTTATGCCAGCCGACTAGTAATTTCCCACCTCCCCCGTCCCCAGGCCCTGGTAACCACTCTTCCATTCTTTTATTCTAGGAATTTGATGATTTTAGATACTTCATGTGTATTAATCTGTTTTCACACTGCTGATAGAGATATACCCAAGACAGGGCAATTTACAAAAGAAAGAGGTTTATCAGACTTACAGCTCCACATGGCTGGGGAGGCCTCACAATCATGGTAGAAGGTGAAAGGCACGTCTCCCATGGCAGTGGCAAGAGAGAGAACTTGTGCAGGGAAGCTCTGCCTTATAGAACCACCAGATCTCATAAGACCTATTCACTATCACAAGAATAGCACAGGTAAGACCTGCACCCATGATTCAATTACCTCCTGCTGGGTCCCTCCCATAATACATGGGAATTCAAGATGAGATCTGGGTGGGACACAGTCACACCATATTATTCCTCCCCGGTCCCTCCCAAATCTTATTTCCTCACATTTCAAAACCAATCATGTCTTCCCAACAGTCCCCCAAGGTCTTAATTCATTTCAGCATTAACTCAAAAGTCCACAGTCCAACATCTCACCTGAGACAAAGCAAGTCCCTTCTGACTATGAACCTGTAAAATCAAAAGCAAGTTAATGACTTCCTAGATACAATGGGGGTACAGGTATTGGGTAAATACAACCATTCCAAATGGGAGAATTTGACCAAAACAAAGGGACTACAGGCCTCATGCAAGTCCAAAATCCCTCCTTTGACTCCATGTCTCACATCCAGGTCAGGCTGATGCAAGAGGTGGGTTCCTATAGTCTAGGGGAGCTTTATGCCTGTGGCTTTGCAGGATTTAGCCCCATTCCTGGCTGCTTTCACAGGCTGGTGTTGAGTGTCTGCGGCTTTTCCAGGCACACGGTGCAAGCTGTCAGATCTACCATTCTGAGGTCCAGAGGACAGTGGCTCTCTTCTCACAACTCCACTAGGAAGTACCACAGTAGGGACCCTGTGTGGGGGCTCCAACCTCACATTTCCCTTCCTTTTTTAGACGGAGTCTTGCTCTGTCGCCCGGGCTGGTTTTTTGTATTTTTTTAGTGGAGACGGGTTTCACCATGTTAGCCAGGATGGTCTCGAGCTCCTGACTTCGTGATCCGCCCGTCTCGGCCTCCCAAAGTGCTGGGATTACAGGCTTGAGCCACCGCGCCCGGCCCACATTTCCCTTCCATAATGTCCTAGCAGATGTTCTCCATGAGGGCCCCACCCCTGCAGCAAATTTCTGCCTGGGCATCCATGCATTTCTATACATCCTCTGAAATCTAGCCAGAGGTTTCCAAATCCCAATTCTTGACTTCTGTGCACTCTCAGGCTTAATACCATGTGGAAGCTGCCAAGGCTTGGGGCTTAAACCCTCTTAAGCCATGGGCTGAGCTCTAGCTTGGCCCTTTCAACCACAGCTAGAGCTGCTGGGATTCAGGGCACCAAGTCCCTAGGCTTCACACAGCAGGGAGAACTTGGGCCCAGCCCACTAAACCACTTTCTCCTAGGCCTCCAGGCCTGTAATGGGAGGGGCTGCTGTGAAGACCTCTGACATGCCCTGGAGACATTTTCCCTATTGTCTTTGGGAATAACACTCAGCTCCTCATTACTTATGTAAATTTATGCAGCCAGCTTGAGTTTCTCTCCAGAAAATGGGTTTTTCTTTTCTATCACATAGTCAGGCTGCACATTTTCCAAACTTTTATGCTCTGCTTCCCTTATAAAACTGAATGCCTTTAACAGCATCCAAGTTACCTCTTGAATGCTTTGATGCTTAGCAATTTCTTCCACAAGATATCCTAAATCACCTCTCTCAAGTTCAAAGTTCCACAAATCTCTAGGGCAGAGGCAAAATGCCACCAGTCTCTTTTCTAAAACATATCAAGAGTCACCTTTGCTCCAGTTCCCAATGAGTTCCTCATCTCCATCTAAGACTACCTCAGCCTGGGCCTTATTGTCCATATCACTATCAGGCTTTTGGTCAAAACCATTCAACAAGCCTCCAGGAAGTTCCAGACTTTCCCACATTTTCCTGTCTTCTTCTGAGACCTCCAAACTGTTCCAACCTCTGTGTGTTACCCAGTTCCAAAGCCACTTCCATATTTTTGGGTATCTTTTCAGTAACATCTCACTCTACTGATACCAATTTACTGTATTAGTCCATTTTCACACTGCTGATAAAGACAAATCTGAGACTGGGCAATCTACAAAAGAAAGAGGTTTATTGGATTTACAGTTCCACGTGGCTGCGAAGGCCTCACAATCATGGCAGAAGGTGAAAGGCACATCTCACATGGTGGCAGCAAGAAAGAGAACTTGTGCAGGCAAACTCCCCCTTACAGAACCATGAGATCTCATGAGATGTATTCACTATCACAAGAATAGCACAGGAAAGACCTGCCCCCATGATTCAATTACCTCCCACTGGGTCCCTCCCACAACAAATGGAAATTTAAGATGAGATTTTGGTGGGGACACAGTCAAATCATATTATCATATAAGCAGGATCTAACTTTAGCATATGCACACACTGTATATGTGTGATTCTTTGAATTGCCCTGCAAGCCAATTCTAACATTTTGATGGTTCCCTTATTAATTATTGAGCAATCTAAAATCTTTGACTTGTGCTCATCTTACAATATCTAGGCATTTTGGTTTTACCTTTAAAAATAGATTAGCTAAAGAGAACAC